TTACAAGTTTCGGGTAAGTAGTCTCTTGTTCACTGTGGCATGCACTAGGGTAGCTGCTGTACAAGCTTCCAGGGATTGTCCTGTTTCTGTCTCCCACCTCAAAATACACACTGTGCAAGTCTTTAGCCCATTTTGAGTTAGTTTTTATATATTGTGAGAGATAATGTTATTTCATTCTGCTGTATACACTATCCAGTTTTTATGGCAATTTTTATTGAAAAGACTATTCTTTCCCTAATGTGTATTCTTAGTGACTATTGGAAATCAGTGGTCTTTAGGTGTATACGTTTGCTTCTGAATTATTTTTTATCCTGTTGGTCTCTGTTTATGTTTTTATGCAAATGTTAATGCTATTTTGGTAACTACAGTCTTTTAGTATATGTTGAAGTCAGGTAGTGTAAAGCTATCTGCTTTGTTTTCCTCAGCATTGTGTTTGTATGGCTCCGTACAATATTGGGATTGCTTGTTCTAGTTCTTCTATAAAGCCTGCCATTGGAATTTTGATAGCAATTATATTAAATGTGTAAATTGCTTTAATACTGTGGACATTTTAATCTTTGATTCCTTTAATCCGTAAACATAGGATATCTTTCCAATTTTTTTCTTCAGTTTCCTTCATCAGTGTTTCCTAGTTTACACTGTAGAAGAACTTCCCCTCTTCGATTAATACAGGACTTTTTGTTCATTTTTCTGTTTGTTTTGAATCTTGGGTTAGCTATTGTGAAGTGAATTTGCTTGTTTTTCTTTTCAGATAATTTGCTATTGGCCTATAGAATAATAACATTGTAGCCAGGCATGGTGGCTCACATCTTTAATCCCCCAGCACTTGGGAGGCAGAGGCAGGCGAATCACTCTGAGTTCAAAGCCAGCTAGGGCTACATAGCAAGTTCGAGGCCAGCTGGGGCTACAGGGAGACCCTGTCTCAAAAAGACAAAAAAAAAAAAGAAAGAAAAGAAAAACTACTGAATGTGTGTATATGTGTTTCTTTTGTATCCTGCAACTTTAATGAATTCATTTATTAGTTACAGTAGGCTTTTTGTTGTTGTAGGGTGGGGAGGGGGGGATCCTCACTGTTTTCTGTATATATCATTTGAAGGGTGATAATTTGGTTTCCTACTGCTTTACAAATTTGATTGTCACTTCTTTCTCTTAATGGCTGCTCTGGCCATGACTTTCAGTAGTACATTGAATAAAACAATCAAAAGTGCTTATTCCTGTCCAGATCTTAATAATGTTCTCTTTGGAGTTTGTTTCTTCTGTTCCATTTTTAGTTTTATCTTAAAGACCTGTTGAATATTTTTTTCAAATATTTTTCTGTGTCTGTTAAAACAGTCATGATTTGGGCCAAGTGTGGTGACACACACTTTTAATCCCAGCACTCAAGAGGCAGAGACAGGCGGATCTCTGTGAGTTCGGGGCCAGCCTGGTCTACAGAGCGAGTTCTAGGCTAGCTGGGGCTATGGGGAGACCCCATCTCAAAAAAGAAACAAAAAAAAAGTCATGATTTGTGTCCTTCATTCTGGTGATAGGTTATCATCTTCGTTGATGTGATGTGTACATATTGAACCGTCCTTGGATTGAATCCCATTTGGTGATAGTGAATAACCTTTTTAATATGCTGTTAGGTTTGCTTGATGGTTCTTTTCATCAGGGATATTGACCTGCAACAGTCTCTTGTCTTGCCTGATTTTGGTAAAAATAATGCTGGTCTCAAAAATTAGTTTGCAAGAATCCCCTCGTCTAATATTTATGTAATGGATATTGGGTCCTTAAAAGTTGGATTGAATTTAGCTCCCCATCCTTGACTTTTCCTTGGCTTTTTATCACTGATTCTTTTTGCTACTCATTACTGATCCACTTAGGCTTTCCTGTTCATAGTTTAGTCTTAGTAACATGTATGTGTTCAAGAATTTGTGCATTGCTTCAAGATTATTAAAATTATTGTTATACAACCAGGCATGGTGGTACATGCCTTTAATCCTATCACTCGGGAGGCAGAGGCAGGCAGATCTCTGTGAGTTCAAGGCCAGCCTGGTCTACATAGTGAGTTCCAAGACAGCTGGGGCTATAGGGAGACCCTGTCTCAAAAAGACAAAAAAAAAAAAAATTTACTGCTATACAGGTGTCTATAGTAATTTTTCCTAATTCCCATTTCTGAGGTATTGTTGATGTTATTTTTTTTTCTCCTTCCTATTTGAATCTTCTTTTTTCTTAATGTAGCTAAAATTTTTAACCATTTTTTGAAAACTACCCATTTGATTTTTTTTATTATTCTCATTTGTTTTTGTTCTGATCTTTATTATTTCTTCTACTAATTTAGAGTTTGTTCATTTTCCTAATTCTTTGATGAAAGGTTTTCTGAGACTTTTTTTTTTTAAACATTGACTGTGTATTTGGGGGGAGGGGAGCATACATGTGAACATCACGGGACAGTCTGAGAATTGATTCTTGCCTTCCACCATGTAGGGTCCTGGGATTGAACTGAAGTTGTCAGACTTAGTGGCAAGCCCCCTTACCTACTGAGCCATCTCACCAGTCCCTACTTTCTGCTTTTTTGATATAGGTATTGCCATAAAAAACTCTTTCTATTCCTTTTGCTATAATCCATATGTTTAGGCATGTTCCATTTCTATTTTCATTCGTTTTGAGAAATTCTAATATTTCCTTAATTTTTTGTTCCGTTGGTTGTTCAGAAAAAAATTATTTAATTTCCATGTAATTGTATATAACTTATAAAGTTTTGTTACTGATTTCTAGTTTTATTGAACTTGTAGTTGGAAAAGATATTGGATATTAATTCAGCGTTTTAAAATGTGCTGAGACTTGTTTCATGGCCTTCTATATAATTTGTCCTAAAGAATTCTCCATGTGGTGTTATGTAAAGAATTAACATTCTCTAGTGTTGGATGGCACATTCTTTAAATATATTTTTAGGTCCATTTGGTCTAATGTAGTTTAATTCTCCTTTTTATTGATTTTTTTTTCTGCACAGATTGTTACTGAAAGTAGTTATTAAAACCTCTAGCATTGGGACTGGAGAGATGACTAAGCAGTTAAGAGCACTGATTAATATTGCAGAGGACCCATATTCAGTTTCCAGCACCCATATGGTGGCTAACTCCATTTCAAGGGTATCCAATGCCCTCTTCTGGCCTCTGTAGGCACTTGCACACATGCAGGCAAAAATACTCGTACACATGAAAATAAATCAGAACAGTTTTTTTTTTTTTTTTAATCCTCCACTATTGTATTGAAGTCTCTCCATTTTGGGCCTGTTAATGTTTTCCTTATATATTTTGATTGCTGTGATATTGGTTGCATATATGCTTAGAATTATTTCCTCTCCCTCTGAATTGATCCTTTTATCATTATGTAGTGTCCTTTTCTGCTTTTGATTTAAAGTCTTATTTTATCTGGTGTAAGTGTGGTTACTGCTGCTTTTTCTATTCCATTTGCATGAGATATCTTTTAATATTTCTTCATTTTTAATCTGTGTGTGTGTCTTTAAAGGTATAGAGAACTTCATATAAGTAGTCTTGTCTTTTCATTACTCATTTATCTGCTCTGTCATTTAATTACCTTCAAACAACTATTTTAAATTCAGAGTATACATATGTATCAACTGCTTTGTAGGTACTTTCTGGCAGCTTATATTTCATTTAGGTTAAGTCATAGTTCCATGAATGTTCTGGTGCTTGTTGGCATGCGTGTCTTTATATTGAAGGATGAAGTATTTGTTTCCATCTTCATAATCTGACATTGTGCTTATCCTCCCAGAAATTACAAGTAAGATATTGTTTTCCCTGAGCCTGTGGTCAGTGCTACTATTTAAGCAACTAGAGAGTCCCCCAAGCTGGAGATTTTTCCTCATCATGTGTCCTTTAAGAGAGCTGGGAGAGTACCTGAAAGGGTAGTTCATCCTACAAGCTTCTGCCTGGGGCTAGACTAAGCCCAGCTGCCCCTTCTCTACTCACCAGCCTCTGGGAAGGCTCTCTGATTTTCTCTACCAGAAAACATTACCATGGAGAAAGACGATTCTATGTTCCTATGCAGTGAGTTGGCAATTACCTTCCTCAGTTTATACCAAGTGGTAATGGTTCTGTCTATGTTTTGGTGAGGTTTGGGTTCAGGATGAGTTAGGCAGTCTTATAGTGACTTAACACCTCAATATAGAGTCATTCTTAGAGCCCCTAATCTCCTAACACCAGTACAGATCAGGAACTGGATGTAGGATCATGATGCTATGACCTATCTGCTGCTCTGGTACATGTAATCTTAGACAGCTGCAGCCAGCCACAGATGATACTAGCCAGAATACTAGTTCTTCTGACTACGGTCATACATCCCTCCTTCCTAGCATTGAGGTGAGTTCAGATGTTCTTTTCTCACACACAAGAGGTGTTAGTATCCACCTGATACTAAGTTTGAGTGGCCTGGCAAAGTTTTCTAGTTATTCTCTAACTCCCAGGAATGGAGTCTTCTTCAGCATTGCGCTGTCCAGACCTGGGGGAGAGGTGGTAGAATTATCCCTTGATACCAGACCAACTTTATTCAGAATTTCGGGCAATGAGCATTGGTCTGGTGATGGGCCATAGGGCTCTTTGTCTTATACTGGATTACATCTTCGTGTCCAAGTAGTAGGTTTCAAGTCTTAGACCTGGACTTAATTTCTTCTCTCTTCCCCAAGCAAGAGGCTTCTCTCTTCCTGCTGCGTTGTTTCGTATTTGGGAGAGGTTTGTAAACAACCCTTTTTGGGTTTTTTTTGTCCCCCAACCTGTTTTCTAAAACCAGATGCTATGATCTCTGGTTCCTTAGGTCTTATGAAGGCAATCTTATGAGTAAACAAGGTTTCAAAATAACATTTCTATAGGAAGATGATCCCTAGTGACCCCTTCCTCCGACACTATTTTGCTCTCAGGAAAAACAGTGAATCCAATTAAAACTTGTTTTGCTTTCCTTTTCTTCATTTACTATGATTAACTCATTTTATTTTATTTTAGATCACTGTGTCCACTACTATGATCTTCGTAACACTAAACAGCCAATCATGGTATTCAAGGGACACCGAAAAGCAGTCTCTTATGCCAAGTTTGTGAGTGGTGAGGAAATTGTCTCTGCGTGAGTATTACTCTCCTTAGAGGGTGAGCTTGACACAGAGCTCTCATCATTTCTGTAGGTTTACAGAAAGAATGAGATGGGATTATATACCCTTTTCTCAAATAACATATTCAATGTCTTCTCCAGCTAAAATATATGTATCTTCTGATCTGTATTGCTCACTTTTATATGTTATTTATGAATAAAATGCTATATTTAACTTTTTAAAAAATTTTATTATTTTTATTTTATGTGTATGCGTGTATTGCCTGTATGTAGGTAAGTGTACCCGTGTTGTGCAATGCCCGCGGAGGTCAGAAGAGGCTGTTGGATCCCCTGGGACTGGAGTTACGGACAGTTGCTAGCTGCCATGTGGGTGCTGGGATTCGAACCCGGGTCTTCTGCAAGAACAACCAGTGTTCTTAACTGCTAAGCCGTCTCTCCAGCCCCTACAAATTACTTTTTAATGTGTCTCTCTAATGCTCATAATTTAATTAACATTTGAACTTCAAATTGGGTTTGGTTACTGCTTCTCCTGAAGAGGAGAAACAACATAGTTGATGCAGTAGAATGAGAAAAATAATTTATATGATGAAGTCAACCAACATGTTACTATATTATGTCTATTTTCAGCATAACGGTAAAAATATTTTTGGTTTAAAAAAGTTTGCTGACTTTGACCAAAAAATAATAATAAATGAAAATAAAAAAGCCGGGCATGGTGGTACACGCCTTTAATCCCAACATTCGGGGGGCAAAGGCAGGCCAGTTTCTGTGAGTTTGAAGCCAGCCTCATCTACATAGTGAGTTCCAGGCCAGCTGGGGCTTAAATATCTTTTAAGGGGAACTTTTCCAACTTTGACTGTTTATATTGTACAGATAACCTTTGTAAAACCATCTGGACTAGAAAACTGTAGTGCAGGCTTTTAGTGCTTTTTCACTTTGTTTGAAAGTAGTAAATTATCAGTGAGGCAAATAAATCTCAGTTGTCAAGCTATAGAACTTTTCTAGGAACATAGGTAATTCTGTATTTTGGTTATCCATCTCATAATTCTCTATATTACCTAACAAATCCATTCTAGGTAGGTAGGTAGGTAGGTAGTCTCTTCTCAAGCTTAATGTTGCATTGCTTTCTCTTTTTTTTCATAGTTTCTCTCTTAGAAGATTGTTAATGCCAGTGCCTTACATTTTGCATCTCACATCTGCCTTCATACTGGTTGCTCTAAATAAGAACTTGGTAATTTAGCAAGACGGTTTCAATTAAGTTCAGTTAATTAAAAAATAAGACATAACTGAATTTTCCAAAGGAGAAATGTGGGCAACTAATTCACAAATTTAAATTTATTAGCAATTAGTTGAAAAGGAATTCCTTTAGGAATATATATGTATATATAATGGGCAGTAAATAAATGTTACTATATTAAAATAAAAGATGAATGTTTTTTTATATGGGGAAAATATTTTTCAATTTTAGATGTATATGTGTTTAATCACTTATTTTGACTTCAGTTAATCAAAATACGTATGTTTATAATTGAACTGCATATGTGGCTCTGTAAATACATTTTTGTAAATCATGGGATTTTTTTGTTTTTCCCTGGATACATTGGGCCTTTGAAATATCTTGAACAAAGTCATCTTCAGATGTACTTTGAAATACTAAAATTAATATGAAAGTGTATTTTAAAATAACAAATGTGGGCCAGAAGTGGTGACTCATACCTTTAATCCTAGCACTCAGGAGGCAGAGCCGTGTGGATCTCTCTGAGATCGAGGCCAAACTGGTCAACATAGTGAATGAGAGTTCACATTCTGAAATCAAACAATTCGAATATTACACTGTATACCTTGTTACACTGTAACCATGTAAACCTCAGTTTTCTTATCTTCAAAATGTGACTAATAATAGTTTGTGAATCTTTAAATAAGGTACATAAAACCTTTAGCATGGTGTCCTCTTCAGTGACTGTTAAAGCAATTAAAATTATTTTATTATGTGGTCATTAATAAATACATTGAAACATTTCATTTAATAGGAAAAATTATAAAGCAAGTAATTAAATATGGTGAAGTAGTTGCAAAATAATATAGTATGATCTAATTTTTGTATTAAAGACATGTTTTATTAGTTCTAAAATTATCTTTGGTAGAATTGCCAGTGATTTCTATACAAAATAATTTTTACATAGTTTTTTAAATTTTTGTTATTTTCATTTTATGTGTATTAGTGTTTTGCCTGTATGTGTATGTAAGTGTACCAGTATCATGCAATACCTACAGAGGTCAGAAGAGGGTGTCAGATCCACCAGAACTGGAGTTATGGACAGTTGTTAGCTGCCATGTGGGTTTTAGGGATTGAACCTGGACCCTCGGGAAGATGAGCAAGTGTTCTTAACTGCTAAGCCTTCTCTGTCTAGCCCCACAAAATTATTTTTGGTAACTGAATTTATGTATTCCTACAGCAGGATAAACTATTTTATGTCAACTTTTCAACATATCTTTCACCTGTCCTATGAAACTTGTTTATATTCAGTATGCAGTATAACTCACCACGGAAAAATAAAACAAGAATGAGGCTATCCCTGATAGTAAACACATAATAGTGGTATAGATGCTATTAGTGTTTGCCATTTCCTATATACCCAGGCATTATTGAAAGCATGTTAAATGAGTTTACTTTTTACCATGTTGGATTCATTTAATTCTATAAAGTAGATTATTACATTTCACATTTAACTGTCCTAGGGCCAGGAAGGAGACAGACAGTCTGGCACCAGAGTCTGCATTCTTAACCACAAAACTGGGTTGCTGCTAATTAGTAGTGGTGATGAGTTTCTTACCATGAAATCTGAAATATGTTCTCTTTGTGTTTATCTTAGCTCAACAGACAGCCAGCTAAAACTGTGGAATGTTGGGAAACCATACTGTCTGCGTTCCTTCAAGGGTCATATCAATGAAAAAAACTTTGTAGGCCTCGCTTCCAATGGAGATTACATAGCTTGTGGTAAGTGAAGCTCTCTTTTTAAAGGAATTAAGAATGATATCTGTGGGGCAGTTGAATTCAATGGAGAAATGTTTTTTGCATTCAGAAGGCAGCTTAGCAGACTTGTATTAGGACTGAATTTTTCCTCCATTTTTACTGGAAAAACACTAGTTCTTCCTTTTATTGAATATGTGTTGCCAAAGATTTTAACTGTTTTGTAGTTATTTTATGATATCATTTCTGTAGATACTATATAAAAGATAGGAATTATAAATTTCTGTTAATGATATTTTAAGAAGGCATTTGTTTTCAGAAGATTGATATACATTTTCTACCTGGTTTTCTCTTCCTTAAGCAGTCTGTTTATGTAGCATGAATCTGTTATTCTAGAGTTTTTATTATAGATAATTTATAAAGCTCTGCATCAGAAGTAGAAAAATCCAATTTGACATTATTCGAATGTTCTAATAGAGTTAGTGAACTTTCATCAACACTTTTAGATGACATGGCCCTTATTCGGTAAATTGAATTTTCTCCTAATGTATGAGCTTAAACACCACCAAAGGAAATATGCGACACAATTATCTTTCCTTGATGTACTGCTGAAAATTATCATTCTGTTGACCTCTCATCTAACAGAGTAATGCTTTATTGGGAAATGGAAAATAAACTATGTAGGCTATTCATATTTGCCTTTGTAAGAACTACAACTTTTATTTTCCTCTCTACTAGGTAATCGTTCCAAATCCAATTTAAGATTCTCGTTAATATAACAAATTTCTTATTGTGTAGACCTCTGCTGTGATTTTTTTTTAATAAAAAACATTTCAGCCATAGAATTATCAGTATTATTTTCATATAACATTTGTTATTTCTTTTTTAAAAATATTTTATTTTTATTTTATGTGTATAGGGTATATTGCCTGTGTGTATGTAAGTGTACCCATGTTGTGCAGTTCCCACAGGGGTCAAAAGAGGTCACCAGATCCCCTGGAACTGTAATATGGTTGTTAGCCCCCCATGTGGGTTCTGGGAATCAAACCTGGATCTTCTACAAGAACAGCCTGTGCTCTTAACCATTGAGCCTTCTCTCCAACCCCATTTGTTACTTTTCTTCCTCCTCCTCTTCCTCCTCCTCCTCTTCCTCCTCCTCTTCTTCCTTCTTCCTTCTTCTTTCTTCTTTCTTCTTCTTCTTGGCATTTTTGAGATAGGATCTCCCCATAGCCCCAGCTGGCCTAGAACTCAGAGATCAGCCTACCTCTACCTTCTGAGTGCTGGGATTAAAGGCATGTGCCTTCCCACCCAGTTCAATAAGCCATAGCTTTTGTCCAAGAATCTCTCACATGGTTCCCAATTGGTTCTGTGATCTAGTCTTTCAGATAGTACCATAAAAAATTACTGGTGTCTGTGCCAAAACTTCGACTAATAATTATTGTCTACATGTGCTATTTGGGGACTGGGATATAACTCACTGTAGCTGCAGACCCTGGGTTCAGTCTCCAGCACATAGTGGGAAGAGGATAGAAGGGGTGATATCTAGATGGCTATGCTGGTACCTGTGACCCCAGCATTTGAGAGAGAGCAGGCAATTAATGAGTTTGAGGACAGGCTGAACTTATATAGCAAGACTGTCTCAAAATAAATAATGTATATATTCTAATTCCAAGTTTGCTCATTCTGAAAAATTATATTTATTTTCAGGAAGTGAGAACAACTCCCTCTACCTGTACTATAAAGGACTTTCTAAGACTTTGCTAACTTTTAAATTTGATACAGTCAAAAGTGTTTTGGACAAAGATCGAAAAGAAGACGACACAAATGAATTTGTGAGTGCCGTGTGCTGGCGGGCACTACCAGATGGAGTAAGTTTTCATATTTTTTTTTAACCTCAGCATCTTATATATATAATACTTTATGAATACATAAAGATGGTTTTGGTTTTTAAGATTTTAAGATATCAATAGAGAAATGATACATATCCCCCCCCCCTTTTTTTTTTTTGCTTTGTATCGTATCACCAGAGAAAATGGGCATTTTTGATACTAACCAAAATGACCCTAGTGAATCAGTCTCTTAATCTGCGTTTCTCTGTGTCCTTAGGACATCTGTGTATACTTCAGTTATAACCATTAACTTATTTTATTATCTCTTCATAGCCCTCTTTAAGTCTGGAAATTTCTCCATTGCGCCCACTCTGTCTCATTTTCCTTAATGATCACATGCAGAATGTGCTAAAAAGGATTCAGCTGAGGTAACACTACAGAAGGAAAACGAGGGGCTTATGTGTATACCCAGTTATTTTAGTATTGAATTTCTCTCTACTAGTGCACTTAATATTTAAACATTCAGTTTATTTGCAAGTTGCACTGCTAGTTTATTTTTAAAATCCTCAAACTTTACTTTTTATGCATTGTAATTTCTTTTTCATAAACTATATGAAGAATTCATTATTTTTATTTATTTTTTATTTTTTGGTCTTGAGACAGGGTCTCTGTAGCCCAGCTGACCTGGAACTCACTGTGTAGACCAGGCTGGCCTTGAACTCACAGAGATCCACCTGCCTCTGCCTCCCAAGTGCTGGGATTAAAGGTGAGCAGCACCACGCCTGGCTATTATTTTTATTATTTTGATTTATGTAAACAGTTCTTAATGTTATCTTTTCAAAAATAGCTTTTTAGGTGCTTGATTTGGGGGTATTTATTTCTGTTGTTGTTGCATTGTGAATTGATCCCTGGGCCTTGCACATGCTAAAGCATGCATTACAACCCAGCCCCTAATTTTATTTTCAACACAGAAAATTCTGACTTGATACATGATTTGCAATATCTTAGTTCCAGGTGTAGTTTCATTTGATATAACCTATTGGTATCTTATTTTAAATTTTGTATCTCAGCTTCCAGTTTGGTAGTAACAGACAAGGTAATTTGGATTAACCTTCCTTTTTTATAAAATTAGGACAGTCACTCCAAGTATCTGTACTGTTAAGGGCTGCTTAAGGATGTACTGGTCGGTAACAGACTTGATGTGTGGCAGTGATCTCCTAAGGAGCTGAAAAATTCCTGTCATTTAGTAAACATGACTTTAAAAAAAGCAAGAAAAAAAAGGAATAATCCTTCAACAAGCTCCTTAAAAGGTTTGAAAGTTATACAACATTAATCTGTGAGATCAGGGCCAGCCTAGGCTACATAGCAATTTCTAGACCATCTGAGGCTACATTGAGGCCCTGTCTCAAAAGACAAAAAAGTTTGAAAACATGGACCCCCCGCAACATCTAATGAGCTTTTTTAATAGAGCCGAATGTTCTTGGTGGTCCGTCCATCTGTTTACAAACAAACCTGTGACGAACAAAGCAACAAATTAAGCAAATTCAAATGGTCATAAATCTGACAAATCCTCCTGAGGCTCATGCACATCTTTAAGAAGGGATTTTAAAAGGTGTTATTGGGAAGGACTTCATGCATGTTGTTGCCCTTGAAGACCTAGTGGTACCAAAGAAATGAAAGAGAATATTAATATGTAGACCTGTGCTGAAGTGTGTATGTCTAAGTTTACATACAAAGTAAAGACGTGAATTTAAAAAATCTAGAAAAAGATTTATGGAGTCAGAATAAAAGAAAATATATTTATATAGCTTTATAATGTGCTTCAAGCTAAGTATTTCTACTACAAATCAAGTTTTTTCTAAAAAATTAAACTTGTAAAGTAAGAAGTTACAGAAAGCTAGAGTTAACTTATTGAAGAAAAAAAAATCTTTTCCAGTTTTGTTTTTTTGAGACATGGTCTGGCCATGTAACTCGGGCTTCTTGGAACTGTCAGTCCTACAGCCTCTTAATGTCGCAAATTCTGAGCCATGCCTGACAGGAAAAAAATATGTTATATGTAGTATAAACTAAGTACACAGTGTTTATAAAACCACAGCAATGTACAGGTTTAGTGTAACCTAAGTACATAGTGTTTATAAAATCAAAGCAATGTACAGGATATTCTGGCCTTACATTCACTTCTCATTGAACTCACCAAGAGCAATTTTCAGTCCTGCAAGTTCTTTCATGAGTTGCCAGATACAAATACACCATTCCTTAAGTCTTTGTTATGTGTATGAGTGTTATGCTGCATGTAGGTAAGTGCACCTGTGACATGCAATGCCTGCGGAGGACAGAAGAGGCTGTCAGATCCCCTGGAACTGGAGTTACAGACAGTTGTTAGCTGCCGGGTGCTGGGATTTGAACCGGCTCTTCTTGCAAGAGCAGTCAGTGTTCTTAATTGCTGAGCCATCTCTCCAGCCCCCTCCTTAAATCTTTTATACCAAAGTTTTACTACGGCATTTTATTTCTATGTTTAGATGCACAAACACCATTGTGTCACCAATATGCTATAATATTTATTATTGATACAATAACATACTGTATAGGTTGTAGCTTAGGAGCAATAGACTTTACCATATAACCTTGGGAGGTAATAGGTTGGACCATCTAGCTTAAGTACACACTGTGGTGTTCACACAGTAACAAAATTGCATAACATCTCATTTTTTAGCTTATATCTACATCATAAAAACAGACTTGTCTTGAAACAAGACAGAAGACCTGGAATGAATCTGACTTTTGATTCTATGTTTTGGTGGAGAAATAAGAATCTAGTGCATTTCATTATATGAATGACTCACATTGTTTTAGGCCACCAAAGGGATGTAATCTAGGGGGTGGAAATGTAGAAGGTAAGTCATCACATTGAAAATCAGCCGGGTTGATTCTGGATTGCTAGTTTCCACAGAATACAAACTTAAATCATCTATAAAATAAGATTAACAATTTCTTTTCTCATTTATTTTTCTGTTTTTATAAATACAATAAGTGGGACACAGTAACAACTAAAAAGACAGGAAAACATAAGGCAACATAAATAAAAATTCAGCATAGCAACAGATAATAGAAACAGAATCATAGCAGCTCTTGATTATAGTTTTCAGATCGGGCTTGTAAGTAACCATGCTTACAAAGTAAAGGGATTGAAAATTTCATCTGGGAAATGGAAGCTTACAGAAATGCAAACCCTAGAGCTAAGAAACATAATGAAGTCAATAGAGGACTTTGATGGAGATGAGGCAGAAAAAAATAAACTGTTAGATAAGTTAGGAGAAAATACATAGAAGTAGACATAGAGGGGCTGAGGGGATAGCTCAGCTGATAAAATGCTTTCTGCTCAATCATGAGTACCTGAGTTTGATACCTAGCACACACATTTAAAACAAAACAAACAGGTGCAGTGAAATATGCTTGTAATCCAAGCGCTGTGAAGGCAGAGACAGGAGGACCCCTGAGGCTTGCTGGCCAGCCAGTCTGGCCTAGTCTGTGAGGTCCAGGTTCTACTAAAGACCCTGTCTCAGAAAAATTTGATTGAAAAGCAATTGAGGAAGACCCACAACATCAACTTCTGGCATCCACACAACCCAAAGGAGACACAAAAATGATGGGACAATGCAAAAAGAAGGGTAAAGAATCCAGTAAGAACATTTAATACATTTAAGAAGAGATCTTGAAAGGAGGACATGAAAATAATTTTTGTGTGAACGAGAATTTGAGAACCATAAACATTTGATGAACGATACCGAGATAAAGATTCATTGAGCCTTTGAACTTACAGAGAATGAATGATATGAAATACGGAATTTAGGTAGATGTTAATATTCCTGGGTGTTGAACAGACACAAACCTACCTTGGGTTTCCTTCTTACAGCACCATTTCTTTCAAATATATTAAAACAAATATAAAATGTTGTATGCTAGTTTCAAGTTTATCATAAAATACTATCAGTGAGAGCTGGAGAGATGGTTTGGTTCCCAGCACCCACTTAGCAACTAACAACTGTCTGTAACTAGTTCCAGGGAACTCAACACCCTCTTCTGGCTTCTGTGGCTACTGCATGCATGCCCATATATGCAGGCAAATATACATAAAATAAAAATAAAAGTTTATAAAAAACACTCAGTAGACTGGGAGAACCTTGTTTTGGTGTACTAGTCTTACCTCTATATATGTATTGAACATTGTAAGATGGATTGGAAACCAAGACACATCATTGCATTTGAGGTAGGCAATATAAATTTCATTCTCTGGTGACAGATAATGTGTACACTTAGTGTGAGTCAGGGAGAGGTCTAAGAATCTGCCTATGAGTGTTGCTTGACTGAACAAGTCTGAAAATACATGAATGCTGAATTTCCTATTTCCAACTTACTACTAGATTAAAGCCAGTTTGTCGCAACCTCTAACTCTTGCTGATAATGATTTATTGACAAAATACTAATTATGAGATGTATTATGTGTGAAAAAAATTTTTGGGCCTTTTTGAGGCAGGGTCTATGTGTGATTTTTTTTTTTAAAGATGCACCTATCAGAATGATTAAGTCAAATCAATTAATATATTTTTCATGAAAATTCTTGGGTTTACAGTTCAAGGGGGACACTGAGGCAGATTGTCCCTTTGGGTAAGAGATTTATTAGAAAAGTTATTAGTGCCAAAGACAGACAGACGGACAGTAGCATGGTGGGGCTCTAGGGAGAGTTCAATCCATTTGGTAGAGGGTACTTTGTTATAGGTTTCAAAGTAAGGGGTCAGTTTTGTGCCACATGGCTGATGAACAGTCTATAGTATGTCCATGCTGCTCTGATTCCTGGGCAGCAGAGGGAATATATGATGACCTTGAGGATTCTGGAGGAAGGACCCATTTAGTTGATGTGTGGGTGTGTCGGTGGTAATACTGGTAGCTTGGTGTCTGTTAACTTGGGACCTGTTCAGGGAATCAGCTATGAAAGAGAGGAAAGACCGGTACAAAAGGGTGTGATCTATTAGCATTCTAAC